TTCTTCCTTCCTTTTAATATATATTGATTTCAGAGAGAGGAAGGGAGAAGAGGAGAGAGAGAGAGAAACATCAATGATGAGTCATTGATCGGCTGCCTCCTGCACGTCCCCACTAGGAATCGAGCCGGCATCCTGGGCCTGTGCCCAGACCAGGAATCAAACCGCAGTCTCCTGGATCCTAGGTCAATGCTCACCCACTGAGCCACTAAATTACACGTTTAGAGACCTTTCAATCTAGGCATATAATATTGCCAAAATGCCCTGGTTTTCAAATATATATTTTTGCATATGTAATCTTAATCACCTTTTTGTTTCTATTCTACTTAGACATACCTGCTCATCTAAATATTTTCTCAGAAGTTCGTGTTTATAATTACCGAAAACTTATCTTGTGTTACGGAACCACCAAGGGAAGCTCAGTAAGTGTATGAATTAATTAAAACTGAACTTTCTCTCATAAATCTTCTAAAAATCAAGAATTCAAAAATTATGAAAACTGATTTGAAATAATTGAGGGCTCAAGTAAAAATTGGGGATAAAATGGTAAATTTTTAAGTACTTTGTTGTACTATAATGTTTAACTCTTTAAAATTGAAAACAAAAATTATACCCTTTTTGATGGGGATAATTTGATGGGGATATCATCTTGAGTTTTAGACAAGATAATGTATTTTTGGTATTTGCATTTTTTTCTTAACTGATTTTGAATCTACTTAGCGATGTGATTGCTATGATGAAGTTTATGCCTGAGTGGTTTTGAACAGTGTGGCGTGTGTGTGCTTTTAGTCATGTGATAATGAACGTTGTTTGATCCCATCTTACTTTTGAAGGTATTCCCCATAATTCATAGTTTTTGTGTGGTTTTTTTCTACCTCATATGCAAAGCCCTAGTATGAAAACTCAGTTAGCTGGCTTCTTTCTGGACTTTCCACATCAAGTAGTATCAGAAATTACTTGAGTGTTTAAAAATCAGTTAACAAAGGCATCTGTGTTGGGGGTGGCTTCCTTTCCCTTTATGACAGTGTGCACCTAGAGGGTGATTCTTCTTCAGTTCAAGAGAAAAGTGAAAATTAGAAACACCAAATGACAATTTTTAAATAAAGTTTAATCAAAATGTTTTCTTTAGCGCCTTCTCTTTCTGTTTTATTTAGAAGTGGGCTATCTAACAGACATGCTTAGAGAATGTACTGGTACACAGTAATACCAAATACTTCTGGAATTTGAAGAGTCCAGTCTTATGAGTTGCTTTCAAAAAGATCTAATTTGGATGTTTGGAATTTTGCCTTAATGTTTAAATATTTTTTCAAATACTTGAATCTTTTACTTTCTCAGTTTCTGAAACATGTATTCTCTTTGCTTTAGATTAGTATCCAGTGGAATTCCATACATCAGAAATTTCACATTTCTTTGGGAACTGTTGGTCCAAACTCAGGTTGCAGTAACTGTCACAATACCATTCTCCATCAGCTTCAAGAAATGTTCAACAAAACACCAAATGTGGTTCAGTTATTACAGGTAATTAAATTTATTTTCTCTTTAAAAATAAGATTCAGTCAGTGTTAGTGATGAGGGTGGGTGCCTTTGTCTTTCATATCTTGCACTTTTCTTGAAGAATTTTCTTTGATTCAAAATGGACAGAGTGATCTAGTTTGTATTCTCTTCAAGGGAAACTTTTATGGAATATGTCAGAAGGACATTGTCTCTTTTATGATGGTTATCCATTCAAAATTCCGAGGTTTTAGCATTGTACAGAAACAGGCTGCTCTCACTGTGTTTGTTCCTTATAGGTACTGTTTGATACTCAGGCTCCATTAAATGCCATCAACAAACTCCCCACTGTGCCGATGTTGGGCTTGACCCAGAGAACCAACACTGCCTACCAGTGCTTCTCCATTCTGCCACAGTCGTCCACCCACATCAGACTGGCCTTCAGGAACATGTACTGCATTGATATATACTGCCGGAGTCGAGGCGTTGTGGCAATACGGGATGGTGCCTATAGTCTTTTTGATAATAGCAAGTTAGTTGAAGGATTTTATCCTGCACCAGGACTAAAGGTAACAAAGTTACAGTATGAATAAATGTAATATGATCTCTCAAACAATTCTTTTGAGGGGGAAATAATGGGGAAAAGCAACAAATTTCTGTTGCTTTTCCCCAGTTTAATAAGTAGCCATGTTAATGCATTATCTCTGCCACTTTAGTCTGAAGGAGCTAGAAGTTCTAATAAAGTGTTGTGCTACGTATGAGATGATAAAATGTCTTTTTCTTTATTTTCTTAATCTGATGAGCAAAGTGGAAGATACTGAAGAGAGTCCTATTTACTATTTGGAACTTTAAAAGTAGTTTTTATCATTGATTATTGAGTAGATTTGATTCATCAGTGGAACTGTGATGCTCTTTTAAAATGTAGGGTCTGGACCTCAATCCCTGAAGATGCTGGTATAATAGCTCAGCGGCTTATAATTAGAATCAAATAGTTCCAAATGGCTTGTTTTTAAAATTAGTCCCCTGCAACTCTCTCTTGCCATTTTCCTGCTATGTTTTCATCTCTTACATAGCTGATTCTCTTGGTATTTATATCTTATCTCTAAATAGATGCTTACATTGCTATTTGTTGACTTCTTAGTTGCAGACGTTATCTGATTCTCACAATGAAGACGAGGATTTAACCCTGTTTTAATGCTTTCTTACATGTTCCTTCCTCATTCCAGGCTGCTGCTCACTAATACCTCCTTCCTTTTCTCCTATTCTTACAATACGGTTAGATAGCAATTTTGATTGGATAATTTTTCACCTTTATCCTTATTTCCAGAGGTGTCTGGTGTTGCCAGTTCCTACATGTCTTGGGGATCTGGATGGAAATAGCTTTGCTCCTTGGCTTTCCCCACTGCTTGCTTAGGACACAACTTCCTCACATTGTGTAGTTCGGTTACCACTCAGCCATCTGCTCTTCAGCCTCCAGAATTTATTGCTATTTTTTTCTTTCCCCTTTTTTTTTCTTGCGACTTACTGCTTTAAAAAAATTTTTTATAAGCGTTTCAGGTGGGGTATTGGGAGAAGATGAAATGTGTGTTGTGATTGTCATCTTTACAAATCAGACTATGTACTTTTAAAAGCTTTCTAGTGATTCTGATAAGCTTTTGATCTATATTTTTGAAGATTGGGAAGATAAAGAGTATTAAAAGAAAGAAAAGCTGTGCTTGACACAAATTCTGGTAGCCTTGCTTAGTTTTTGATGACATATCTTATAATTCTTCGTGGTTCACAATTAAGTCATATTAGATAAAAAAGGGAAAAGATGGGTTAGTTTCTTTATTCAGTTTTCCTCTCATATTTTCTATCTTAAAAAGTGAAAACTCTCGCCTTAGCCGGTTTGGCTCAGTGGTTAGAGCGTCGGCCCACAGACTGAAGGATCCCGGGTGCCATTCCGGCCAAGGGCATGTACTTTGGTTGCAGGCTCTGTCCCAGGCCCTGGTTGGGACACATGCGGGAGGCAACCAGTCGATGTGTCTCTCCCATTGGTGTTTCTCTCTCTCTCTGTTGCTTCCACTCTCTCTAAAAAGCAATGAAAACAAAATATCCTCGGGTGAGGATTTAAAAAAAAAGGGGGGGAAAACTCTAAGTAGGAAATTTTCCAAGATACAACTTTTGATATCCCGCCCCATTTTTGGTTCAGAAATTAATAAGAATATTTTGACCTATTAAGAAGTGCCAGAGTGTAATTCTTTATTTAGCTTTTTGCTTGCATAGTACTTAGTTGATATGATTTTTTTAACCTAGATATTAAAATTATCAATATCTCTTTCAGGTCGTTCTAGTGATAGTGATCATGTGTTAAACTTAATTTCAGAGCTAGACATAATATGTTTATTTCTGTTAAAATATTATAAACAATTTAAAATACCATGCTAAAGTTAGGTAAGATTTTATCTAAAAAGTTGTCTAAATTTTGCCTGTTTATATCCATAGACATTCCTGAATATGTTTGTTGACAGCAATCAGGATGCTCGAAGAAGGTCTGTAAATGAGGACGATAACCCCCCTTCTCCCATAGGAGGAGATATGATGGATTCTCTAATCTCACAACTCCAGCCACCGCCACAGCAGCAGGTAATGTGCAGCTGAAATTCCAAACGGCACATTTGTTTAACTTAACAGGTTCTACAGGTGTCTGGGCTGCTTTCTTGAAAGGCAAGGAGATCCTTGGGGGGCCCAAGATTCCCAGGAAATGTATGAAAAAATAGCGATAGAGAGTGATGAGAAGGGGGCTTCCAGAGATGGGAAGTGAATTGTACCAGAAATAGCATTAACCTCAGACTTATGCACTTAAAATGATGTCGGGTGATCACCCATGTAATCACAAAAGAGGTTGAACAAATGGCTAGTAAGCAGAGAAAAGCTGTTCAACGTCATTCAGCTTCACAGAAATACAAACTTAAAAGCACAGTGATATAATATTACATAGCCACAAAGTGGCTTTAAGAAAAAAATTGATAATTCTTGCCAACATTTGGTATTAGAAGCAACTGAAACTCTCATTTTTTACTGGAGGGTGTGTGAAATGGTACAGCTGCCTTGCAGTGGAGTTTAGCAGTATTCCAGAGGGATGATAAAGCTCAACATTATGCATATCTGTGATTCAGCGGTTCTACTCTTAGGTATATATGCGACAGAAATGCATCAAAAAACACAAGAACATTCATAGCATTATCCAAAAAATTATAAGCAATCCAAATATCCAGCAGCAATAGAATGAGTGAATAAATTGGGATATACTTGTACAATGGAATGCTCTACAGAAATGAGGAAGCAAACTATTGCTACATGCAACAGCATGACGAATTTTGCTGACATAAAGTTGAACAAAAGAAGCCAGATACCATGTATGTAATGAGTACATTCGGTATTTGTAGGAAATGTGAAACCAGGCAAAAACTAAACTTGAGTGATAGAAGTCAGAATAGTGCTAACCTTTGGGGCGGTGATAAAGATAAGGTGTGTAAGGGAGGCCTCTGGGGCTCTGGTAATGTTCTTCAGTATCTCGATCTACGCGGTGGTTACATTTGTAAAAATTCGTCCGACTGTACATTTAAGATTTGTGTACTTTACTATATATGATTTGGACCTCAATTTTCAAAAAATATAGTAGAAAGGATTACATTGTCCTAGGACTTTCATTACTGGAGATGAAGGTAAAGGTAAGTAGAGTTCAGGTTGAACTACCATATTTCGTTGACTCCAAAGCTCCACTAAATGAAGGATGCATTATTTTTTATATACTGCCAGAAATAACACTGCCAGTTAAACTACGACAGATAAAATGAGCGAAAATCATCTTGAGGGATATAAACAATGGTATTGCAAGGTCAGGAATGAGGATGTTGCTTTTTTAAAAACATTTGAAAGTCAGGAAGTTTTTAAAAACCTGTGTTATTGATGTGTATTTTGCACATTTTCATGAAGTGTGTAAATGTTAGCACTGGAGCTATCTATTGGGGAAAGCCATACGCTCACAGTATATGCAGTTGACCATTTTACAGACATTTTAATTTCTTCTTTTCAGCCATTTCCAAAGCAGCCAGGATCATCAGGCGCTTATCCTCTTACTTCACCTCCTACATCTTATCATAGCACAGTTAGTCCATCTCCCTCTATGATGCACACACAGTCTCCAGGTAAGACACTACTTATTTTCTTGTCATGTTTACCTTTAAATCTAAAATACACACATGCGCACAGACACAAACACTGAAGCACTGCACATGCAGCCTTAGAGAGAGAACTACCTTTCTAGTCTGTGGCTAGATATTTGCCATTCATTCATTATGGCAGGGTTGTGAAATCTGTGTTCATGATTCCAGAGCACTTTAAAAGGTTTGATTAAATGGAGGTGGTGTCACTCAGAGCCAGACTCATGGCTCAGCTCCAAAAAGTGATAATCACATGATCTGTGTCAGAAGTCGACAAACTAAAGCCTGTGGGCCAAGTCCTGCTCATCACCTGTTTTTGTAAATAGTTTCGTTGGAACCCAGCACACCCATTTATCTAGTGTCTGTGGCTGCTTTCCCGCCATGACGACTAACCCCTTACAGAAAGTTTGCCCAGCCCTGTGGTGTATGTGAATGGTGTCCGCCCCTCACAGCTGGGGAGTGCACCACCTGCTTGTCCAAACAAAATGGTGCTGTTGGCGACCCCATGAAGGGCACTGTAAAATTGCTTGAGAATGCCAAAAATAATTTTTTAATATGTTTTTATTGATTTCAGAGAGAGGAAGGGAGAGAGTGAGAGTGAGAGAAACATCAATGATGAGAGAATCATTGATCGGCTGCCTCCTGCACGCCCCACGCTGGGGATCGAGCCCGCAACCCGGGCATGTGCCCTGATTGGGAATGGAACCGTGACTTCCTTGTTCATAGGTCGACATTCAACCACTGAGCCACGCCGGGTGGGCCAAAATTTTACTTTTAACCGAACATTTCATTGGTATCGCTTAAGCACTTGCTCTGTGCCAAATGCTGCGTGGTGCTGAGGATTCATCCATGAGCCAGATACCAGCTCTGCTCTCAAGCTTATCATCTAGCAAGGAAGACAGGTGTCAGATTTCTTGAGTAGATGATCCCCTACCTGCTCATCAGATGGCTGGACCATAGATGAAGACTTGGAAGTTGTTGTCATATCATTGAAGGTCGTTGAAGCCCAAGTGGGTGGGTGAGCTCAGCCCTTGAGGAGCAGCCAGGGAACAAGGAAGAAAACAGGAAACACAAGGGCATAGAACCCAAGGGGAGTGTTTTTCTAGTATACAGTTGAGACTGGTTTTGTATAGAAGGTAGGAAAAATAATTATTTTGAAATGATGGTAGCAGACAGGTATATATTGTGCTTACTCTCTGCCAAGCCCCATTCTAAGCACTTTACCTGGGTAATCCCCACAGCAAACCCATTGCATAGGTCCTGTTATTATTCATATTTTATACAGGAAAGCTGAGGTGTGGAGAAGTTAAGTCACTTGTCCAGGTCACACAGCTAAATAAATAAAATAACACTTAAAGGTTAATCAAGTTGATGAACATATTTATTGAATGTAAGGCATTGCATTATGTATTATAGAACATGAAAAGGTGAAATTCTCTTACATAGAGGTAGAGAATTTGAAACTTGATGATATTGAGAATAGTTATGGTAATGTTGCAAGTATTTTAAAGTAGCATTTATTCATAGTTTTGGTAGCCATAGTTCCCCTTTCATAATTCTAAGTTAAAACTAGTCCTGTGCTAAATGCCATCTTTAAGCTCATGTCTCCCGGTTTTTTATATCTCCTCTCTAGGCCTCTCCCTGAACTCAAGTCCTGTATTTTCCAGCTGTCTATTCAACATTTCCATTTAGCTGTCTAGTCGACATCTGAAACTCACTGTGGACGAAACTAAACTCCTAACCAACCCAGCCCCAAATTGCTCCTCCCATAAGCACCTCATCTCAGTAAATGGCAGCCCCTTCCTTCCTGCTACTTGGGCCAAAGCTGTTAATGAGTCATGTTGGATTCCTTTTTCTCTCACATCCACATGCAGTCAGTTATCAAATACTGCCAGCTCTATCTTTAGAATTTATCCAGGATCTAACCACTTTTCTCCATCTCAGCCTGTGCCCTTGCCCAAGTCACTAACCGTCTCTTACTGGATGATTACAGTTACTGATTTCCCTGTCCCTGTCCCTGCCCTATAGTCTGTTTTTCACACAGCAGCTAGAGTGCTCCTTTTGGAACAGAAGTTAGTTCATGACTCCCCTGCTGCAAACTCTGCCGTGGCTTCCCATTTCATTCAGGGTAAACCCAAGTCCTTTGAGTGGCTTACAAGTCCCTGTGTGATTTAGGACCATGCCCGCCTCTCTGACCTCGTATCCCTTCATTCCCCCTTTGCTCACGCTGTTCCAGCCACTCGGGCCTCTTCACTGTTATTTATAACTGCGGCTACCTTTGGGTCCTTTGCACTAGCTCTTCTGTTTGCCTGGAATATCTTATCCCCTGGATATCCTCATGCCTTTTCCTTCACTTTGTTTCTCAGCTCATGAGGTCTTCTCTGATTGATTTATATACGGAACAGCACCTACCCCCACCACTGCACAATATCGCCCCCTTACCTTGCCCTGTTTTTCTCCATACCACTTATCACTACCTGACATATATATTTGTTAGTCTTTCACATTCTACTAGAGTATATGTTCCATGAGGACAGGAATTTTTATCTCTTGTTAACTGTTAATCCCCAGTGCCTACCACACACAGTGCTTGGCATGAAGTTGACATTCCTGCCTAGTTCTTGAATGAGTGAATAAAAAATACACTGGATATTTTTTAAAAAGATTAGCCAATATAAGAACTAGAATTTGGGCCCCGTGGAATTGACCTCTCTTTTTCAATAATAAAATTGTTCTAGTTTTCCTTTGTGCTACTTATGGGAGCTTTACTACTTGTTTAGTCTGTAGAATCTTAACTTGGGGTCCTTGAACAGGACATAATATGTGTCCTGCAAGATCATCTATAATTATTTTCATTTATTAGGAAATCTGCATGCTGCCAGCTCCCCCAGTGGGGCTTTGAGAGCCCCATCACCAGCGTCATTTGTTCCAACTCCTCCCCCATCCTCGCATGGACTCTCAATAGGACCAGGGGCCAGTTTTGCTAGTCCACATGGTGAGTCCGTACATGGAAATTGCTGTAGCATAGAGTTTGACATAAAAGTAGTTTTTGTTAAATAAATTATTTTCTTATTTCAAAATTAGCACTTGTTTATTGGGGAAATAGCAAAAGAAAATAAATTTTTCCTAATCACACCATGCAGGGATCTACCAGTTTTGTCTACTTTGGACTCTCTCCCTTTCCCTCTCCCTCGCTCTTCCTGTCACACACCTCTGCTTGCCCACCTGCTCTAGCCTCTCGCTCGCTCTTGCTCTCTACCCATCTTGTCTCCTACCTCAAACATGCCCCCCTCCCCCAAATTGGGACCCTACCCTATGTGTTATTTTGAGGCTTGAATTTTTTTACTCTTTAACTCAAAAATTCTATTACAGATTGGTTCAAATAGATAAAGAAAGAAGAATTAGCCAGTGAAGTGTTTCCTTTCTGTTTCATGAGTCACCTAGTTCCTCCTCCTAGAAGCATTTAGTTAGTGTCATTAATTTCTTATTGTTCTTGCATAGATGTTTTATGCATAAATAAGTAAATACATGGAAGTGTTCTTTGCCCCTCTCTTTTATACACATGGCAGACAGCATATTGCACATGGTGTTCAGTTTCATATATCATGAATACCATGCTAAATCAGAACATAATGAGTTTCCTCACATTTTTACAGCTATGGAGCATCTGTGATTTTTATAAAATATGTTTTTATTGATTTCAGAGAGAGGAAGGGAGAAAGAGACAGCAATGATGAGAGAGTCATTGATTGGCTGCCTCCTACATGCCCCCTACTGGGGATGGAGCCCGCAAGCTGGGCATGTGCCCTGGCTGGGATTCAAACCGTTACCTCCTGGTTCATGGGTTGATGCTCAGCCACTGAGCCACGCTGGCCAGGCACATCTGTGATTTTTCACTCTTTACTATTAATATTTGCAGAAACATTTCTGACAGCAAAAACTCTACATCATCATACTAAGTGGCTTCATAGTATTCCCTTATCTCGGCATACCATAATTTACTCTGCTATTATGATATATTTAGAATGTTTCCATTTTTTCACAACTAAAAATGGTGTGATCTCTGCTCACATGATTATTTCCTTAGGTAAGTTCCTAGAAGTGAAATTGCTGCCTCAAAGGGTTGAGAAATTCCAAAACTTTTGAAACATATTACAGATTGCTCACCTGAAAGCCTGTACCAATTTCCTCTAGTATCATACTAGAATGTCTGTTTTCCTCCATCATTGCCAACATGGAGTATTATGATTTTTTTAAAAACCTTGATTATTTTGATAGGTAAAAAATGGTACCTTATTGCTTAATGTATGTTTCTTTGATTATTAGTGAAGTTCATTGGTCTCTGATGTTATTTTATGTGTGCCAGTTTATACCTTTTCCTATGTTCTTGTGTTGTTGGTTTTTGTTTTATCAATATGTAAGACTTCTAAGTAAGGATCATTTACCCTCTGATATATGGTAGAAGTATTTTTTCAGTTTGTCATTTGATTATAAAGGGGTGTAAATGTTAAAGGTATCTACAGGGTGAAATTTAAACACCAAATTGTTCAGGAAGTCGCTGCTTTCAAAACCCGATTCTTTGGTTCATTTCTTAATCAATGTAGCCTTTACTAAATAAAGAAAATGGAAAATTTCCCTTTCCTCAGCCTCCTCTGAGTAGAATGAAAACATAATTTGTCAGGATTAGTTTAAAATATATAAGATTTCTTTCCTTAACAGAGCTTTGAGATTTTTTTTGCTTAACATTTTCAAACATATAGTAGATTGTTATGTGGTATAAATTGTTACATATTACACATCTTGAAGCTTGTGTGAAGGTAAATTTTATTCTTTCTCAGTCTTTGTATCTAATTTTTATATCATGTTAAAAAGTACATAAACTACACAAAATATTCAGGTGTGCCATGTTAAGAAGCATCATGCTTCAGTGAAATATCTTACTGAAAGGAAAAATAACATTTTCACACTGTAAGGTGTAAGCATGTAAATGCTGTCAATTACTTTTCCGTTTTCAAAATACAAACTTTGAATACCATTTATTTACTTGTTTACAGGAACTCTGGACCCCAGTTCTCCATACACTATGGTGTCACCAAGTGGACGAGCAGGGAACTGGCCAGGGTCTCCTCAAGTGTCTGGCCCCTCACCAGCAACACGGTTACCTGGAATGTCACCAGCCAACCCATCACTACATTCTCCAGTTCCAGATGCTTCTCATTCCCCTAGAGCTGGAACAAGTGAGTGAAATCAACATTTTTATGTTTGCTTTTAGTATAACCAACAAATGGCCTATTTTATTCCATCCTCACATTTGAAGATCATGACCTACTTGTTGAATGGGGATAATTAATAACTTTAACTTTTACCCATTTAGTAAATCGTTGGTAATAATAGTTAATTATCAAAGTCAGGCATAATGTAAGAAAGAGAAATGTCTCTTCCAGAAGTTGTTTTGAGGCAAGACCCAGTGCCTCTGTTGTGACTACTACCTTAGTTTTGATACTAGACCTTAAAAGATACCTAAAGTTATCTGACAAGGTAACACAGAAGAGAAGACGTGTACAGATATGTTAGTTAGCTTTTGCTATGTGACTTTTAAAAAAATATGTTTTTATTGATTTTAGAGAGAGAGGAAGTGAAAGGGAGAGAGAGGTAGAAACATTGAGAAACATCAACATTGATTGGCTGCCTCCTGCACACCCCCTGCTGTGGATCAAGCCCGAAACCTGAGCATGTGCCCTGACTGGTGTATGGGTCGACACTCAGCCACTGGACCCCACCAGCCAGACTGCTACATGACTTTTAGTGGCTTAAGCAACAGTCATATGTTTGTTCACCATTCGGCAGTTTGGCAGTTTGGGCTGAGGCCAGCTGGATGATTTTTGCAGGTTCTGCTGGGCTCACTCATGCTTCTGTGGTCAGCTCCTGGGTTGGCTGGGGCCTAGCCAATCTAAGGTGACCCCATCGGGCATGGCTTCTCTCTGCTCCATGTGGTCTCATACTTGATCATGGGCTTGTTCACCTGGTGGCTGGACAGGGAGCTTCAAGAGAGCGAATGAAAGCCTAGGCTTGCAGCTGGCACTGCATTGCTTATACTGCATTCTGTCGGCCACAGCACATCACAAAGTCAACCCAGAACCCAGGTAGAGAAATAGACTCCACTCCTTCTTGAAGGGATTGCTGAAAAATCTCATTGCAAGGGACCTTGCCACAGGGACAACTGTGGCCATTTTTGCTAACAGGAAGCTAATATATGATTGTTACACTACAAGGAGTAACTAAAACAGTAAAGATTGTTATAGAATATCAAAGATTTATCCTAAAAACAAAGCAGGGAACAGTGAGATAATATGTTTCTATAAATGAAATGACATGTTTTCCTTCCCGAAAGGTTCTCAAACGATGCCAACAAACATGCCCCCACCTCGTAAACTACCTCAGCGCTCCTGGGCAGCCTCCATACCCACCATCCTCACTCACAGTGCCTTGAACATTTTACTGCTGCCCTCTCCAACACCAGGCCTCGTGCCTGGCCTGGCAGGTAGTTACCTTTGTTCTCCGCTTGAAAGATTCCTTGGATCGGTCATCATGAGAAGACACCTTCAAAGAATTATTCAACAGGAAACGGTATGGCTACCTAGTGAACTAACTCATAAGTGGTGATGGTCAGAGGCAGATGCTCAGTTGCCCCTCAGAATAGAATCTGAACTAGAGTGATCATTCCCTCACCTCCCTTAACTAGCTTGTTAGAATTAATTACTCTCTGCATCTGGCCCTGGCATTACAAATGGACTCCACTGTTTTCTTTTCCATTCTTGCATTAACATATTCCTTCATTTTATAATATGCCATGCTGTGGCTGACATGGACCTGGAGATAGGTCTGCTTATTACTGTAGGACACGTGCACCCAGCATCTATCTGGCTTTGCAGAGGATAGCATATGAGTAGCTACTTGTCCTCTAGAATGCTTTTACAGGCAGGCAGACTTAGAATCTGAGTCTCCATTGAAATAAAATTATTTATGATCACAAAGATGAAAGCTGCTTTTTAAGTACATGAGCGATTGAATTAAAACCCTGTCAGAAAAGGACTTCTAACCTATCCTGTGCTGGTACCTTTAGGAGATAGTTCAGAGTTGAGAGCACCCTTTCTAGAGTCCAGCTGCCTGGATTTGTAGCCAGGCCATCCCACCTGCTAGTAAGAGCTCTGCCATTTGTTCACCTTTCTGGTAATAGTAGGTAGTAGTATCTACCTAACTCATAACAGTTGTAGAAATCTGAGGTATTTCATATAAAGCTCATAGCATAATGTCTTGGTATTCAGTACGTGTTAGTTACTTATAATTATTATTGTTGATGTACATATGTGTTAATGAGGTGGTGGTTAGAATGGTGAATATTGAAAATATACACTCCTTGGATGGCACCAAGCTGTTTGCAGCCTTTATATTCAGATTTGAAAAAAAATAAAAGTTTTAACATAAATTGAATAAATTAGCATATAAATTGGTATTCATCAGACCTGTGATCTCAGCTCACCTCTGCCATTTATTTATTTATTTTTAATATATTAAAAAAACTTTTTTTTTTTTAATATGTCTTTATTGATTTCAGGGAGAGGGAGAGAGATAGAAACATCAATAATGAGAGAGTCATTGGGGATCAAGCCCTCAACCCAGATATGTGCCCTGACCGGGAATCAAACTGTGATCTTCTGGACCTTAGGTCGATGGTTCAACTGCTGAGCCACACTGGCTGGGCTCATCTCTGCCATTTAAAAGCCTTGTTAGTGTTCAGCTCTTTAAAACTCATTTTGCTCATCTGTGTAATCAACATATTAGGCTACAGCAGAGGTCAGTAAACTATGGGTCTGGAGGCAAGTTCTGCCCACCACCTGTTTTTGTAAATAAAGTTTCTTTGGAACATAGCCACACCCACTCAATACGTGTTGTCTATGTCTGCTTTCAGCTATAGTGACATCATTAGTGGTTGTAGCAGAGACCATATAGCCTAAAATATTTATTAGCCCCTAGGCTAGCAGAAAGTCCCAACTGGATCTTTTTTTCTTCTTCTTTTTTTCCTAATGTGCTAGTTTTTTAAACCTTACTGTGGAAAATTTTAAGCATATACACAAAAGTAGAGAGAATTGGATAATGAACCTTTCTTTTCTCATCACTCACCTTCAACAGTGAATTCATACCAATATTATTTCATTTATAGTTCCCCCCAGATTGTTTGACAGCAAATTCCAGACATCATTTCATCCATAAATACAATTTCTTTATTATCAAATATGGTTGGTGTCCAGATTTCCTAAGCTATCACCGTTTTTACAGTTTGAATCAGAACCCAGTAGTTTTTAAGTACCTTTCAAACTATAGTTCCCCCTCCATTTCTCCTTACATAATTTATTTGTTGAAGAGACCATATCATTTGTCCTATAGAGTTTCTCAGTCTGGATTTTGCTGATTGCGTCACTTTAGAATCATTTAACGTGTTCTTTTGACCCTTATAGATCTATAATATGGATCAATCCTGTGGATCTATCTAACTACTGAATTTAGCCTCAAGTTGGTTGTTGTTTTGCAAGAATATTTCATAGGCAGTGTTACATTCTTCCATTAAGAGACATGTAATGCCTGATTGCCTCTCTCTGGTGGTGGTAGCAGTTTTGGTGCTCAGTGCCCAGATACCTTTGTTGTGGAATAGGTATCAACTGAGTTGTTTTCCTTTTGAAACAGTTCTCTAGGTAACTGTTTCATTTTCTCTTTGTCTTACATATTGTCTTACATGCTAATTTCATGCATCCTTCTTGTTTTGCAGCTACAATTGATAAATTCCAATGAACCTGGGGTGATCATGTTTAAGACGGATGCGCTGAAATGCAGAGTAGCCCTTAGTCCCAAAACCAACCAAACACTTCAGCTAAAAGTGACACCTGAGAATGCAGGACAGTGGAAACCTGATGAACTTCAAGTTTTGGAGAAATTCTTTGAAACAAGAGTATGTTTATTAATGCATACTTTTTATATAATCAGTGAAACAGAAGAGTCAAGGTGGAATGAAAAGTAACTTGCTTTATTTATCCCTATAGGTTGCGGGACCGCCATTTAAAGCCAATACATTAATAGCCTTCACCAAGCTATTAGGAGCTCCTACACACATCCTCAGGGACTGTGTGCATATTATGAAGCTAGAGCTGGTAAGTTACAGAGAAACACAAACTTTTATAGCGAGGTCTGTTTGAGGAGGTTGGAGTTGGTGGGAACAGTGTTTATTGGTTTTTACCTATTTAGGTACTTCTATTTTTCTCTTAAATTCTCCTTAATTTCTCACTTAAATTTTATATGTTTTGAATAGGCAACACATCCTCTTGTGTGTTTTGAATTTAGAACAAGATGATACAGTGGGAAACTTCCCATCCATCCCTGTCCAGCCATCTATTCCCCCTCCTCACAGGCAACCCAAGTTACCAGTGGCTTACCTCTTATAAAAGCAAATATATATATATATTAATATATCTTCATTGATTTCAGAGAGAGGAAGGGAGAGGGGGAGAGAGAGAGAGAAACATCAATGATGAGAGCGTCATTGATTGGCTGCCTCCTGCACGCCCCCAACTGAGGATCAAGCCTGCAACCCGGGCATGTGCCCTGACTGGGACTCGAGCCGCGATCTCCTGGATCATAGATTAATAAAAGCAAATGTATTTAATACACTCTTCCTATTCCCAGATAATGAAATACGCCCCCCTCTCCCCTCCGTGGTTTCTTCTAATACTGAATGGATTCATTTTTTAAATTACTTCAATTTTGGATCCATTTTTAATATGTCATATGTGAGGTATGGATCCAGCTTTTTCAGATGCCCCTAATTGCGTTGATACCATTTATCAATAAATCTATCTTCTCTGGGAGATTTTTAATTCCTCTTCTTTTTTATGAAAGTATATAATTATATAGATGGAATCCAGGTGGCAGCTGATTATATTTTTCCAATTTTACAATAGTCCTTTCATTTTAATGTTTCTAGTATTGCTTTGGGTAATTCCAGATACCTCACTTCTTTTTTCAGTTGATATTTTAGTATTGTGACAGCATGGCTTCTGCTCTGATAGGCTACAGGAAACATTATGTCAGAAAGATATCCACTGAGTTTTTTGAAGGAGTAAATATTTATGTGGCTAAAAAAGCATCAGTGGATATAATTTAAAATTATTAACACGGTTTGACTACTTTGTTTTAGGGAAGGAATTGGAACTGAGAGTGGGAAGTCTAGATTGGCACCAGTTAAGAAGGGCCTTGAATGCCAGGTGTTGATCCTTGGAAGGGTTGGAGGACAACGTGTCACTGCATGTCATTGAACATTTGCGAGCTAGAATAGAGCCACCCTCTAGAACATTTGGCAATGGTATAAGGATGGACTGGGGGAGGTGGCCACTGGAAGGGACCATTAGGGGACCATGGGAGAAGTAACAAAGCCCTGAGCTCAGTGGCATCAGTGAAAATAGAGAGAAGGGAACAGATGTCAGAGACACTGAGGAAGCAGAATTCATAGGAATTAATGAAGTGAGAGGGAGAAGGGGGGATGTATCACATAAATCCATAGCTGACTTTTCAATTAGTAACTTTACGTGTATATATAAATAAAACATGCAGGTTATCAACTTGATGTTCTGTGTAACTTTTCAGACTCCTAATGTTCATATGACTTTATCTAGGTTTTTGGTTTTTTTTCTCTCAAAACAGTTTCCTGACCAGGCAACACAGCTAAAATGGAATGTTCAGTTTTGCCTGACGATCCCTCCCAGCGCACCGCCCATTGCACCTCCTGGGACTCCTGCTGTGGTGCTGAAATCCAAAATGCTATTTTTTGTAAGTACCGCCTGGCGTGTGTGTGTGTGTGTGTGTGTGTGTGTGTGCGCGCGCAGAGCTTCTGAAGAAATCCATGTGAGGGTAATGCAGCAACTTCTGGATAATTGCAAAAATTATCTGTTGCTGCCAAATATAGGTCCAGATTCCTTTTCAGTTTAGGCTTCATGTAATCCTGGTTCCTTTAGTAATAGCAGGAAGTTATTGAACTAAGTAATTGTGTGACAGTTGCATGTTAATCATAATATTCAGTTGTTTGTCACATGTCATATTTAATTTTCTTTTGCTTGACGCATCTTAATCTGATAGTAAATGATAGTACCTTTGATAAATTTGTCAAATGTTTTATTTTCTTACTATGTTTTTGTTTTCTGTGTGTGTTTTGTATCTACAGCTTCAACTAACTCAGAAAACATCAGTCCCTCCCCAAGAACCTGTTAGTATTATAGTTCCAATCATTTATGACATGGCTTCAGGTACAACCCAGCAGGCAGACATTCCCAGACAGCAGAACTCTTCTGTTGCTGCTCCCATGATGGTCAGCAACATTCTGAAGAGGTTTGCAGAGATGAACCCACCACGACAAGGTACATGACCAGTAGATGCTATTTTATTGCATATGTGTTTTAAGAGTTCTTTTGAGAGATTCCCCCTTCTCCCTGCTGCTCCCTCCTTACCCACCTCCCCCTCAGTCCTAGTACTAGAGCTCTGGTTGCTGTGGCCCTCTTAATGTCTGCCTGTCGCTTTCTTCCTTTCTCACTGGCTCTTCGTTTTTGTCCATGTCTCTGCTGCCTGAACTTTATTTTTGTTAGTGATTTACTATTGGGACTGACCCAGTTGCTAATGCCAGAAGCTTGTATTTATAGCACACATTGCCACAAAGCCCTAGGTTAGGATGATAGAATTTTCCATGGATGTGAATTCCTGCCCTACCATCGATACCTGCCACTCTGTACATCACCAAGTTAAAATGCATGTTAGTTTATCATATTTCATGGTTCAGTCATGAAGAGAATAATATCATTCAAAGTTCTGTATCTTCTAAATGTTTTGTGAAGAATAAAAGCTGATACAAATGGCATCGCTGCTTTTTGGGCTCCTTATATAAGTTCAGGCGGGTGCAAGTGAACCTTTTCACCAAGTGCACAACGAAGCTCTCAGACTGAGCGTTTTCAAGGAAACCAGAATGTTTCTGGCAAGATAAACAAGGTCTGTTCAATACTGTTATAGCCTATGCTTAACACATAACTCCTGCAGTGCTAAATTCTGGGTTACAAAACATAAAGCTCAGCAAAGAGAACTTTTCTTCCATTTTGCTTATTTCTAATATTAAGGAAGTCCGCTATCTTTCTGTTTAGAATAGTATGATCACAGAATTATGTTTTTAAATGAGGGAAAGTTGTTCTCTGAAACATTTCACGTACCACGGTGTCAAAATTTTTATTAGAAACAGGAATCATGACAGAAATTATATTTTTAGCTGTTTGTTCCTCCATATCGTGTACACAGGCAAGTACTCAAGTATAGTTTATAAAAAATGCACTGGGCAGTAGAGAAGGGTGTGCTTCTTTTGTTGTAATACTTCTTCCACTTCTTACAGTTTTCTGCTTTCATCCTTTGACTTATCTCTTCTTTCAGCTAAAAAATAGGTCCTTAAGAATCAAAGTTTAAAGCTATCAGAATTTTCAAAGTAGCAGTCCAGTAGAACTTTGAGAATAAACCCTATTCTTTAACAAGCACGTGACTATCATTATGTCTTGTGGAATTTAAAATTGAGAGGAAAGAATGTTTTGATCCTATTGCGATCAAGCAAGTTTTTCAGCCTGTCAGTAATGAAAATGTGTTTTTAAAAAAGAAAAAAATATATATAACTTCTTTTAATTAAGAAATTGTTGGGATATTTTGAAATTGTTTTTCTTTTACGGCTACCTTAGACAGGTTAAACCTTGGGGTTTCGTTTTCTTTCTGTACCTTAATTTTCCAGTGGTTGATGAGAAGAGTGCAGTAACTTGCACAGGGTCACTGCACATTCTGCCCTCTGCCAGAAGGCCATTATTCAGTTGGGGTCTTCAGTTCTCTCACTTTCAGCCACTGTAGTGTTAGGCTGTGCTCTAGGGAAGGGACCTAGCTTTTGGTTTATAATATTTACAGCTGATTTTGTTTTTTTATATTGAAATATTTGTAATATTTTCAAAAAGGAAGAGGCAGGGTATTTGGTTTTTTTAAGCAAAGGGGAAATTGAAAGGATGAATGATTAGCCTCCACCCTCCCCCAAACAAATCTTGGTTTGGGATTGTTGGTGTGTCATACTTCAGCCTTCCTCCCAAAGCCATCACTTCCTCCCCTGGTGGAAGTGCTTTTAAGAAAAACCACTTTATTTTTGTATTAATTGATTTTAATGTTGAACTCCAGAAGTTGATCATTTCCTTCAAATTTGGGAGAAAACTCCAATAGATATCATAGAGCTGCACTGTCCAATATAACTGTCCCTGGCTGCATGTGGCTATTTAAATTTAAGTTAATTAAAATTAAATAAATTAAATAAAATTTAAAATTCAGTTTCTCACCCTAACTACATTAAAAGTGCTTAGTAGCCACAGTGCATATATTGAATATTTCCATCATCACAGAAAGTTCTGTTGGACAGTGTTGTCATAGAGATTATTTAACCTTTAACACAGCATTAGAAGGACACCGTTGCTGTTGTAATTAATGTATAAATATAAACTCTATATCTTTTCATTACATTCAAAATGCATAAGCCAGTTAGTTGTCAGTAGCCTTGAAGCCCAACTTCAAAGGTTTATCCAGTGCTTCTTATCCAGTGTTTCTATAGAGAAACTCTAGGCATATCTTCTTAAATTCAGACCTAACTGGGCCTTGCCCAGAATTTCCTCATGAGGAAAAAACCAAACCAAACCAAACCATCATCTGATACTTAACACCAAACCTTAATGCCCTATAACCTGTGCAGTTAAAATTTACTCTTTTATTTTGATCTTTAAAGTTCTTGCTAATTTTAGATTTAATTACCCCTACCCCACCGGTGTGTTGACATCATCTTTCCTGTATTGCGAATAGCTAATGACCATTTTTCTCTGTTGCAGGTGAATGCACAATATATGCAGCTGTTCGTGATTTAATGGCTAATCTTACACTGCCCCCTGGTGGGCGACAATAGACACTATTGTTTTTAACCAGGAAGGCTGACAAATGAGACAAAACAACAAAAGTCTGAATTCAGCCTTCAGTTTAAAAAGGAAAATGACTTTTTTTT